CATTTGGGTAGCCATCATAGAGATTTGAATATGAAAAATCCAGTTTTTCTTCAAACAAATATTTATCAAAATTAAATTCAGGAATAAATGTTGTTTGTACTCTAACACGAGAATCTTGCCAAATGTTTGGACTTGTCGTTTGTGAAGTCGGAGAGGCTGGTTGATGAGTATTTGTAAATAACGTTGATGATGACCCTTTAATCATTTGTAAACTACCATTACTGTTATTGGTATTAAATGGTGATGCTAATGTAGCAGGATTATGTGGGGGTGAAGGTGGTGATGTCATGTGTGATTTGTTGGGTTGATTCAATTTACGTAATTCTTCTACTTCTTGTTTCAATTGTGTATTCTCTTCTTGTAAATGTAATAAAGCTTGTTTAAGAATATTGATTTCTTCTTCTTGTTGATTTTTTATTGACTCAAGATTTTGAATGTACTCTGTAGATACAACACATACATAAATATATACAAGATTAATAATTTCATAATTTAAATTTTTTTAAATAATAACAATAACAATAATAATACCTTTTCTTCTGACACGGAAGTTCCTAGCAGAAATCTTATTACGTATTTGTCGACGTTCTTTTGATGATAATTTTTTAATATCTAATTGACTATCGTCATCAATTTGTATTTGATTATCACTACTAGTGCCTTTTGATGATTTTGGTGTAGTTGGTGTGGTGTGCTGCGAAATGGATTTAGCAGCACTAATGTCATTGTCAGAAGGAGTTGTTGTATTAGATAATTTGTTATCTGGCACATTTTGTTTAATTTGAAATTTTGACAATAATTCTGCCAACTGTGCATTCAAAATTGAAACAGAAGTTTCAACTGTAGTAGAAGTTATTGGTTGAGAATGTTGAGATTGAGATTGTTGAGTTAGCAAATTTATGCTATCAATGGTTTGTACAGGATTAGCTAGCTTTACTGGGTCACCACCACCCATAATAGCATTAGAAATTAAACCGTAGCCCTCTGGAATATGAGGCGGAGTTTGATAGGAAGGAGCTTCATTTGCTCCCTCTTCACCTTCAAAAAAATATTGAAAAAGATCAGAAGTAGACATGCTATTGTTGTTGTTGGTTTCATCCTCCATTAATTTATCATTTCTCAAGAAATCCATGTCAATATAAGTTTCAAAAGCGTCATCTAAATTTCCGTAAGGATTACGGTTAGAAGCCATTTTGTTTTTAGTTTTTTTTTAGTTTTCTCAACGACTTCTTAATAATGGTTTATATAACTATTTAATACCAATAAATATTTTTTGTTTACTATGTTAATTGAAATTCAGAAAATTTTTAATAAAAAAATGTTTAGGGAGGAAAAAAAGAGATAATTGAAATTCATAAAATAAATTTTCTAAATTTGTCAACTATATATATAACGAATGGCTGTGCGACAGTAAATTCTAGCAATTTTCTCAAATTTCGCGTATTATTTATGTTATTGGACGCATTTTAACAAAATAAAATAGTAAAAAATACATATA